AAGGGGTGGCCAATGTAGGGCCTTTTGAACTAAGGTATGATAATAACATGTCTCCACACACAACAAATGTTGTCCCCCCTTCCATTTTCCTCATATATCATACAGAGATAGTTTGATGATTAAATATGCGGATTATTCCATTTGTCTCTTCTTGTTCCATTATTGAATCAACTTATTTAGGTCAATGGTCATCTTTCGAGGTTTTGGTTTTTGTACCTAGGCAGCATAGAATTGGCACGCTATTTCTCCTTAACGCCATCACTTGAAGAATGCTTGATTGCGAGAAAAAAAAAAGTATCAAAGTGATGTATAACCCCTAAACTTACCTAGCAGAATTAAGGGGCCATTTAGACTAGATAGACTGCAAATCCCTTCCATTTGTTTTGATTGCTTTAAAGAGTAGTGATTCCCATTTTCTGTTTTTGTTTATTTGTTTTTACCTTCTGGAGATAAGGTCTATGTTCCTTTTCTCTAACTAATAAATTTAGTTGGCATACGTTTTGCCATTAAAATAATAATAATGATGATGATGATAACAATCATAATAACATCAAAGTTTAGGAGAGTGAGTTTCTTTTTTTTTTTTCTCTTTTGTTTTTTATTTGTGCATGGTTTTGTTGTGTTCTTATTTTTTTCTTTTAAGAACTACACAAAATTTTTAGGATTTTCTGTATCCTTTTTTATCAATAAATATTTCACGATTTTGTGCAAGAAGATTGTTGTCAACAATATTTCGGTAACTATTAGTACCTCCCCGGCTCCCGGACATTATTGAACTTTTTCTTATATCGAAGTAAACGAATGCCAACCGTAGACTCATAAGGCCGCGGGTAAAATGGAATTCGAGTCCTCTTATACTGAAGCCTACATTTTTAAGTAGGAAGAAGAATCCAACTGTTAAAGTACTGCTACTGCATTTGGAAGTTCATGGCATAGCTACATGATCTCAAGGAACAAAATGCCATATTGAAATTCCCAAAATTTTTTAATGTATTTAGAAAAGGATTTTGACTCGCTTCACTCATTACAGTCAATTTTAAATCAGATTGCCATGGTCCTTTACACTGATATGGCCTCTGGTTGAATTTTGTTTAATGCACTGCAGTCTCTATTCCCTCATGTCTAGGTTCTTTATTTCAGAATTTGAAGGGTTTTCTTAAACCAAATTCAAATCTCTTAGAATTGTACGGATGTGTATATATATATATATATATATATATATATATTATATATATATTTACTATGGTCTAAGGGGAGATTCTAATCCTTACAAGGGGAAAGGAAAGATTAAAAAAAACAAACAAAAGAGTTCAAGGGTCGAATCAAAAACTTCATGGTCATCTAACTAGTATCCTTACAAGCTAAGTTGGATTTTGAAGACAAGACTATACAAATTTGTTCACCTGTATTTCAAGGAGGCATTACTGGGAAAGTTTTATCAGCTCTTGTCAGTGTCCTTTCAATTTCATGAATTTTGTCAAACTCCTTTAAGTTCCAAGAAGTTTCCTCAACCCAAGTGCAAGAGCGACTTCTATCTAGTAGGCAGAATCTCATTTGAGTTTTTTTTTTTTTTGAAGATTTTCAAACTAGATAGAGATTTTGAACCATCAACTCTTTTCGAACTGGATGCATTTGTAATCATAGCAGTATTGCGATGAGTAGAGCTTCGATTTCCAAGGATACAGGACATGCTACTCCATTACCAACTCAACTGGCTAATTAAGCTGGTGCTCTCATTTTTTTTTTTAGAATTTTTTTCTAGTAGAGGAAGAGTGAGATTTAAGAAGCAAGAAGGGAAAAGGGAAATTAGTATCCAATATCTCTAAATTCTGAGATCTCAATTTTAGTCATTTGACCAAAATCTCATCAAATCTCTTTTTCATTGATAGTTCAATACCAATGTCTCGTGGGGCAATCCGTTTGGACAGAATATGGATACCTTCAATTAGAAAAATGAGGATTATGTAAGAGGAATATTTGGTTATATTTTCCATGAATAAATAAAAAGATTTTCTTAAAAAAAAAAAAAAAAGTTCAATACCAATGTCGAATGGGAATTTAAAAATGAGGATTCTAAAATATAAAAACGAAAAAAAGGACGAGCCGTTTCTGGGTAATGGCGACAGATGAAAGTGTAGATTAAACTCTCAACCACGTTTGAATTGTCTTCCATTTGGGGGAAGATTTCTGCACTTTTTCTATCATTATTGCTTGTTTATAAGATTCTTATTTTTTTCCCCACTTGTTGAAATAGGGTTTCGGTTATTGCTTGCATTGGAAGAGGAATGATTCAAGGAACTATCATAAGGTGGAAAAGTGACGGATCCATATGATTGCTCCATTTCAAGAACACGAACCTATTATTTCTGATATAATTTTCAAACAATATAGCAACTTCTTATGGTTGCATTTGATTTGAAGATTCGAGATTGAGACGCCGGTTTATATCGAAAAACCACTTCAAGATAAATTAATCTATAAAACACAGTAAACTTAACATGATTAAATGAACTTTTAATGCCATGCAGTAACATATATGGCAAATCCTTTTGGCATGTGTCCATCCCTCCTAATTCCTCTTGGTTTTGGAGGAAATTGCTTTAATTGATAGGAGATGCTTAGCAACACATTTAGGCTGTGTTTGATAATGATCAAACTATCCATTTATGATTTGATAAGTGGCATCCACATGGGGCAGGAACGAACTGGGTGGTTCAAGAAATGAAATATAAGAGAAAGATCTTGAATTTGTGGTTAATTCCACTTTGTCCCCCCAAACTTTGGACGATTACCCACTTCAATCCCTAAACTTCAAACTGGGACACTTAAGTCCCTAAACTTATAAATACCTCCCACTTAAGTCCCTAAACTTATGAAATGGGACACTTAAATCCCTAAACTCTTATAAAATGGGACACTTTGACCACCAACGGCATTCAGAATTTGTTAACAATTTTCCTTAAGTGGAAGGTATTTTTAAGTTTAGGGACTTAAGTGTCCCATTTTGAAGTTTAGGGACTGAAATGGGTAATCGTCCAAAGTTTGGGAGGACAAAGTGGTATTAACCCTTGAATTTGAGCCTTCCTACTTACACTTTAAAAACAAAAAAAAGAGTGACATCCACATAGCCCTTTAATTGATTACTATGGAATTGATATTCTTCAATAATTTCGTAATACTATGAATGCAAGATTAGCTAGCATCATGAGTGACGGTGATTGGATCTGGCCTCAAGGAAGGAGGAGGTCTCAGAAGGTTGAGGGTTGACATATTCTCTCTGTCACTTGTCTACCTTTACCTCATGTACATGACTCTTTTTACTAAATTTTCTGCTGTTGAACTTTTTAAAACAAAGCATTTAGAGGTTCCATGGTTCAAGTTAGTGAGGCTCAAAGGATACATTCTCATGCATGCATTGATAGTCTAGTTGGTATGTAAAAATAGATTAGCAACAAAGGACAAATTAATGAAATGGGGAATGGTAGTGGATGGATGGTGTGCATTGTGTTCAAGAGCAAATGAATCAATGGGGCATCTCTTTCACTTGTGATTATACTACTTATGTTTGGGGGAGAATACAGTAGTTGTCTTTTTTTTGTATAGGAGAGTATATGGGCGGTCTACTGAACTTCAATGGCTGATTCAATATATTCAGCAAGACACTTTAATTAACATAGTGCGCCAGCGTGCTTTTATAACAATAATTTATACGTTGTGGAGTGAAAGGAATAGATGGATTTTTTTTTTTCGGCAAAATGGCAACTATTGAATTGTTAATTCAATCCGTTGTGTAGAATATCTAAAGCATTGTTGCTAGGTGGAGAAAAGTTGATAGAACCAAACAAATTGGAAATTTTGTTTAGAGTGAAATTTTGCTCCTGAAATTTTTTTCTCTTAGCTAGTGTGATTAGTAGTATGGTATTAGTTATATGTAGTCGGAAGTCTATGTACAGTGGATTGTTTTGTGTACTCTTCATGCTTTATTCTTTAATAAAATTTTTAGTTTATTTGCAAACAAAAAAAACACATAAATGGAAATTTAGCTGAATTGAACAGAACCAAATTGGGAGATGAATTTTTCCAATGGGTGGACACCTATTAATACATCTAATATTCATCTAACCTGCTATATATATATACACACACACACACACACACACATATTAACAATTATTATTCTTTATTGCATTTATATATTTTTCCTATTTAATCTTACCTACTCTCCCTTATATTTATTTACATTTCCTAATTAATCTTATATTTCTAAAAATATATCATCTGAAATATATCTTAAAAGAATTTCAAAAAATTATATCCAATTGCTTGTTTAGCACATGCCGGATAATACCATTTTTACTCCTTATAGTATCCAAAAATGGGAGCTACGAGAAAAATGCGGACATAGAGAGCAAAAATGAATACCATTTGGCACTGAAAATTTTCCAATAATTCTAGATTTGAATCCTCCACTCATTTTATGTGTACCTAGCAATAAGTCCATCAGATAAAAAATATTATGATCAAGCTACCCTTGGAAAGTCTAAACAGTTAACAGGATGGTAAGAATTCCATCTGTTATAAACCGCAACTTTGCTGGACAAAATGACAAGGAACTCTCGGGACCGAATATACTCCACTTTATCCAAGCCAACAATTCTATGCTAAGGATATGACTGAGGGGACAAAGCCTTGCATAACTCGCTATTCTCCGCGTTTAGGGCATTCCTTGCTCTCAATACCATTGAGTCCCAGTTTATTTTGAAAAGTCTTAGCAACATTCCATCAACCCAGAGACAGCATTGCTCTTCGCAGCTGGTTTTGTTAAAATATCCCACTTAAATCTCCGTCATTAATATGTCAAAAAAGAAAGTCTCCACCAGTTGCCGAGATAATGGGAGAATACCATTCAGACAAAAAGCCCTCCATGGATGATGATGCATACTAGTATCTTCTCATATTTTATTGGAAACTTCAACCAAAAAGCACAGAAACTCCCAAAATTTCCAAATCTCAAGCAAATAAAAGAATATTGAATGTTTGATGGCCTAAAATTAAAAAAGAATAAGTTCATTTGGATGTAAAGAAGCGGGAAAAAAAATGCAGCTAAGCTATTGGACATCACTATAGACTACTACCTCTTGACCATGGTTTGAAATTAGACACAACAAGCAAATAAACAGAAGATAGGAAGACAGGAACTGACCGCAAAAACCACATCCTTAAAGATATATTACGTCAATCTGATACAGGACCTCTGGCAGCTTAAATTAGATTCTTGATTCAATTCTCTACAGGAAGTTTCTTTGAAATGATCCCGAGGAAAACCTAGAAGACAAACCCGAGCCATGTTTTCAGCATTCAATTTCACACTTTGCCGTCCCGCTGTCAAATCCTTCTTACGATCCCATGGTCTCCATGGATGCTTTCCCTCCCATTCTTCTTTAACTGGTTCCTGCTTGGATTTTTTCTTTGATCGATTTTGAGCTAGCTCTTGGTGCTTGTCTACTTGTGGCTTTGACCGCTTTGATTTGTTGTATTCATCTACCAAATGTGCATCTGAACTGGAACGTTTTCTTTCTTGCTCATTTGAAGCAAGTGCTGAAGCCTCATTATAGGCTTCTAAATAACTGCAATTGCAAAAGAGCATTAGTACCAAACGTCCAAGACCTCCAAATTCCAAGAGCATCATTTTCATCAGAATTCATACATACTTCATTTTTGCTTTCTGGGCTTGGTCTGATGGTGTGTCAGTCCAGATACTAGTATCCCCACGCCCCTCCTTGGAGCTTCTTGACGGGTCTTTTAATATCCGTACAAGTTAAAAAAAAAAAAACTGAATTACACCCGTTCACTGCAAGTATACAGGTCAACTAGTAGTTTAACATATATATCGAGTCGATCCCACAGGGAAGAGTGAACAATTACCGGTATTACTAAATCTTCTCTATTATTTAGACTATCAATGTATTATAAGAAATGAAACCTACTAAACTTATGCAAAATAACAAATGAAAGCTCCTTAGGTTATGGTATCCCCAACTACTCATGCAAGTGCTATATTTGGATCATTAAGTATTACATCTAGGCTAGTTATGGTGTAATTTCCTTATGCATTTGAATCCTACTTTCGTAGTGAATCAATTATACTTATAACTAATCCATACCTATTCTCATGGATATGAAATTAACTACAAGTTCATTTTTTCAGTGAAATTAAATGAAATGAATCACTAAAAACCATATAGGTGCACCTCTACTTTTGTGAGTGTACTCCCTATGTTTAGCACTTCTTGAACCAGTGTTAAATCTCAATTTTCATTGCAGAAACAATACCTTAGATAATCACAATTAATGGTACCAGATTAATCATGATTTAAAGAGCCAAAATGCTAAATAACTTGCTCAAATCATAGCAATCAAATAACCAAATAATAAACACTAACAATCAGAGAAAGTTCAACCAAACCCAAGGCATAAACTTTAAAGATACATATTAAACACAAAATCCATAACTTGTATATTAACTAAACTTGGAATCAAATACAAAAGATAAAGAGTTTGGAAGGAATGTAACCCTTGTCACATGAGTTCATCTCGTTGCCTTCTTCATTCTCCATCTTCATCTTTGCCTAACAAATAAACAAGACTGGATGAACTATCTAAACTACAATCCTACACTAAGAAAAATGGAAGAGCTACATTTTTGCAGTTCAAGTTCTCTCCCGTATGTCTCTCTTTTCTCCCTTCAATCTTGCAAGCTTTGGCTATATAAAGGTGAAAGTTGGTCAAGAAGTGAGGTTTACACCTCCCTTTTACAGTTGGGAATGTTTCTCACATGTTTAGCATCACATGTGACTTAGTGGAGGTAAAATTGAGTTTTCTGTGTAAAGAACAGACTTCTCTGACCACAATCCGGCCACAAATCCGGCCAAGTTCCAGCCAGATTGCTACAGTGATGTTTTGTGCACTTTTGTTCAATTTCCAGCTCTGCTTCAATTTTGCGTCAATTTCAACTGAACTTTTCTTGATGATAAAAGCTGATTAGCTCTTGCCCAAAACATAAAACTTGTAGCCCTTTGAGTTAGCTTTCCAATTCATCAAGAATCACCTTATTTGAATATGCGTAGGCTGAGAAATAACCAAAATATCCTTGACTACTCACTGCCCTATTTTAGCTTAAAATTAGCTATTGTAATTCGGCTTTTTGACATGTAAAACCTTCAAACTGGATTCAGATGTCTTCACCAAAGTTGTAAATCTATCTCTTATCTTCAAATTGCTTTAAGAATCATCTCAATTTGATCATTGTAGCTCAAGTTATAGCCGAAATACGAAAATGTGTCAAAACTGTCAAAATGCACAAAATCCAAGTAAAAAGTGATAAAAACCTCATTTAATCACTTAAAACCATTTTTCACCAATTATAGCCAAAATGATTCGTTTTCTTCCAATAATATAACCAAAGTGACTATGTGATAACCCAAAAATGTTCACATTTTTCTAGGCATTATTTTATTTTTGCCTACATTTTTATACCTGCCTTTAAAATATTAAAATTTCTATGCATTTTTATAAGCAAGTACAGTTTTAAATTATTTTCCTAGTATAAGTTAGTGTATGGTAAATTTGAAACGCATTATTGACGTGGGACCTGCTAGTGCGATTAATTTTGGTGCTTAAGTGATTTTTGTGCTAAATGTTATTATTTTACAAGGTGCTAGGAAATGATTAGAGGTTAGCTAGATAAATGAATCATTGGGAGTGAGAAGATAAGTTTAAAACATTCAAGGTGCCAAGTGTTGCAAACCGGTTGGAGGATGGCTTTTGACTTACTATTCATCACCTTTACTAAAACCAATTTTTGACCAAATTTCTCTCATATTTTCTTGTCTTGGCCAGCTGCTCTTGAGGAGAAAACAAAAGAGAGAGCTCTTCAATTTTAGCCTCCAAACTTGCTCAAATCTTGTGTTCTAGCCAACCAAACTTGAATCTACTTCGTACAAGTGATCATTAGGAAAGTTTAAAGGTGTTGGTGGATTAATTTTGGAGGAGGAAGAACTAAACTACCATCTTTCTTGAAGTGTCAAGGGACCTTGCTTGGAAACTTTCTCTTTGTTCTTGCTAATGTCAAATTAGTGGCTTTAGTGGCTAAATATGTTGATTTGTGATAGGTTTTATGGTTGAAAGTGGAGTTTTGATGGATTTTTGATTTATTAGTGATTTTTCTGTTTTTATATCATAATTATTGTTTAGTCATGGATTGATGGCTTGTTATAGTGTAAAATGAAGTTGGTATATGTTGGATATGATTGGTTGCGGAAAATTTCTGGTTTGGTGCGGAAATTCCAATTTAGGGTTTCATCTAACCCTGTTCTGGCTGGTTCTGTTCGGCCATGATGGAGGCCGAATCAGGCTTATGTTAAAACATGAAAATTGTAGCAAATGGTGTTAACTAGCTGCTTACAGAATTTCAGCTCGATCCGATCATTGTAGCATGTGAAATGATCAAAATACCCTTGACTGCCCATGAGCCCATGTTTTGTGAACATATTTCTGTTTTCGTGGAGATTTCCACTTTTGACCATGAAAATGCATGATTTGGCTTTGGAGGTCTTCATAATAAATGTAGATATATGTCTTGGCTTCGAAACACCATAAGATTCATTTCCATCCGATAAGTATAACTTCAGTTGTGGTTGTTATGCCGAAAGGTGTTTTATCGTCTATGATTTGTATGTGAAACTGTATTTGATTTGGGATGAGATTTGATCTTTGATTGTAGGATGGAAAGTGAAGAAATTAAGGGGAAATGCTGTCCATTTATTTTCTTGAAGTTTGAATAAGTAAAAGTGAGATTTGAAATGTGATTTGGGGATGCATTGGACTTACTTTTCTTTAATGGTGTTACTTGAACTAGATTTCATTTGAACTTGTACCTTTTCGCATGGTGAATGTGATAACCGTTTTAAGCACGATACTTAGTTACAAATGTCAAGTTTTAAACTTCAAATGTTTACACATTTTCTTTCCAAAACGAAGAAGAATTGCCAAGGGTTTCTCGGCTGCAAACTCTAATTTTATCAAGCGAGGTTTTAGGTGTGAATTTAGGGTTTGTTTATTTTTCTTTTCCTATGATTTTACTCAAAACACTTGTTATACGTTATTTCTTTGCATATGAGTTAGTTTCGGACCAAACGAAGAGCTTTACGAAAATTTGAATACAACTGTCTTTTCATATCTGGCTGTATTCTGACGTGGCACTGTTCATTCATTTTCCGATGAAATTTTCTAAAACCTTTTTGAGTTTAGTTTTATGTTTGGTTTGTGAAATCCTTAGTTATTTCCGTCCTCAGATCCAAATGCCTTCTTTTCACCTTTAAAGTCATCTTTATACGTTCTACTCGTCGTTAGTCGGATTTTCTTCGATTTCACCTAATTGTTTTGCGAGATGAATTGTAATATTCTCTCTTGCTTAATCTTAGGTTTCGTCGGTGATTGAGGGTAATACCCGGAAGAATACTTTGGATGTTATTTTGCGTAAGTAGGTGAGTGTTCCTTGTTTGTTATATTTCCATTGACTATCTGGCTTGTTGTGGATGTTGATAATGTGTTAAGTGCCCTCATGATTGTCAAAACGAGTTTTACTAGGCGGGTATGTACTTTACCGCACTCAACCTACAGGAATGTGAAATTTTCAATGATTCAATGATTTAAACGTTACTTGTGCATGAATGTAAGTCTTTTAGCTGAACTGGGCCCTGCCCTTCGTTACTGATCGACTCGAGCCAGAAGCGGACTCGGTCGGGCGATTTGGTGACCCTGGGTGAATGTTTGGTATACTCGAGTATTACCTTGTAGTCTGGTGGAGTCCGGCCAACGTTCGGAAGGGGGTAAAATGAAATGAATAAACGAGTGATAATGTAAATGAGGGGTTTTTACTTACAAAAATGTATTTTTAAATGATTGGAGGAATAAGGAAATGAAAGGAGAATGAATGATTGAATGAATAAATGGCTCCCTGTGAGCACGTATCCTTTTAATGAATGTGTTATTATCGCTTTATATTGTAAATGTTTCTTGACTTATTGTTTGATTATGACTTTTAATGGGCTTATTGTTTGATTATGTGTTCGGAACCTCACTGAGCTTTTAGTTCATTCTTTTAGTTTTGTTTTCGTTAACAGGGGAAGGCGAACAAGAACGAGAGCTCTGTATAGACTAGCCTAGACTAGTTTCTTGAATTTTTGTAATGGTTCTCATCCTAGCGCTTGGCACGGGCTAGATGTATGAAGAATTGAGAACCTTTGTATATTTGAGTCTGTACTCCCTTTTGAGATAGAAATGTATCTAAGTTTTGCTTTAAGTTTTGGATTGTTGTTATGCTTGTTCTTGTGATTTTATTTCGATTTTGATTGAGGTATGACTGAGTCCCGGCGAGAGCTAGGCAGGCGGTCCGCCGAACCCTTTGGTTTGCCTTAGGAGGAGGTGGGGCTGTCACAGTTGGTATCAGAGCCTGCTTCGCGTGGTCTCTACTCTGAGTGAGCTGGCTAAGTGGTGAATAAGTGTGAAGGACTAAATGCTCGTTCGAGCATAAGCTATAAAACATAAATGTTATAGGTCTTAAATCTTTCTCATGGTATTTGAGGACCATAGATAGGTATGTCAGGTAGGAATTTCGATTGTAGATAGTTTACTCTTGGGAATGGCCAGCTCAAGATGTGAATTATCTTATTTCGGATTCTTGTGCCCGAGTACTCCAGAGTTGAGGCGGTACTAAGTACTTGA